TTATAGCTACCACCACCAAAAAATTTTTGTTTAGCCAATTTGATGTTTAATTGCGCTGCTGTGCGATAAGGCAAACGACTGGCGGATGAAAACGAATGCAGGGGAGGTGGAATTGCGCAAACATCAACAACAGCGACACTAGACTCATTTTTGGGTCCACGATAATTTTTTGGCACAATTCAAGCAATTAAATTACATTTAAAAGCTCATTTCACAAAGAAAAAAAAAACTAGCTAACAAAAATTAGGAATTCAAGTGTTAAATTTCAGGCAAACAAAAGCCGGGTAAAAATTATGCACAGTCAGGACGATTTTGGATTAAATTTATTTTAGAGGATATTTTGAAAACGTGTAAGGCGAAATTCAGAAATTCTTTAATGAAAATATTGGCATGATATTTCTCCCATTTCGATGAAATATTCTGATAAAGAAGGTCATTGCATAATTTTAGAAAAAGTACATCTAAGGTTTACCTATCATGCAGAAAAACATCAATATTTACTCAACATTTATAGAGAAATTATTAAAAAAATAATTTTCAATTAATATATTCAAAATTGTATATAAGTAACAAATTTACTTTTTCAGAATCCAACCTTACCCCGCATTAATTATTCTACGAGACTTTTGGGTAAGTTGGGTTAAAAATAGTTATTTTCATTTTATTTTTTTTATAATTTTAATTCATAATTATTTTTTTATAATTTGCACAAAAGCCTCATTGTTTCAAATACTATGCATAACAGCGTAATTGAAAAAACCCCTACCATCCCCCGCCAATCTTTAATTTTCCACACAAAACAAATTATATAGGGTGAGATGACAGAAAACTGCAACCAACTTCAGACTCCTGTCATTTCTAAGCCACTCGTCCGACAGCTGTTAAAATTATTCCAGTGACAGCTCACTATATTGTTTACAAACGTACAAAAGCATTTTGGTGAGAATTTTCCAGAAAAAAAGTTTTTCCTGATGGAATTAAAGCGTGATAGTGTGATTCCTTTATATTTGGCTGGAAAACAACAAGTGGCTATTGTTAGAGCACTCCAGCATTTAAATGTGAATAAATCTTTTGTGCCTCGTATCATCGCTCGTTACCGTGATATTGGTAGCGTAGAGCCCGACGTCAAGGAATTGGACGGAAGAAAACAGCAACATCAGCAGAAATGCTTCGAAAAGTAAAGCAGTAAAGAAAGTCCTAAAGTCGGGCGGGGCCGACTTTTTGATACCCTACACCACTTTGCTAATTTAGTGGAGCTCCACGTAACAATTAAAAGTTTTTGTGTGAGAATTCAATCATACACGCTATGATTATAATTATAATTTAAAGTACAAAGAACTAAATATGCCGAAGCATTTGTATCTTTTAAATTCGGACATGTATTGCCCATTTGATGCAAAATTAATTTGAAATCAGATAAAGATATATATGGGAACTATATTAAAATCTGAACCGATCTCGATAAAATTTGGCAAAGATATTTCTGAGCTGTATTTGATATATTTTCCTGTATATCGTTGTTACGGAGTGCATATTACGACTGTGGGTAACAAATATAACAAATCGGATGAACAATATATATGGGAGCTATAGCTATATCTGAACCGATCTTCACCAAATTTGGCATACAAGCTTCTAGACATAATTCGGTTGTATGTGCCAAATTTCATCCCATTTGGGCAAATATTAGACTTTTGGAACACAATAAGAAATAAATCGGACGATGTTATATATGGGAGCTATATCCAAATCTGAACCGATCTCGATAAAATTTAGCAAAGGTATTTCTGAGCTGCATTCGATATATTTTCCCAAATATTGTTGTTACAGAGTGCATATTACGGCTGCGGAGGACAAAAATAAAAAATCGGATAAAACATAGCTATAGCTATATCTGAGCTATAGCTATATCTGAACCGATTTCGATAAATTTTGGCATACTTATTTTCAGGCCCAATTTAGTTGTATGTGCTATTCGGGCTGATATAACACGTTTGGTGCACAATAAAAGGCAAATCGGACGAAGATATATATGGGAGCTATATCTCAATTATGAACGATTATCTCCAATTTCAATAGGGTTCGTCCTTGGACCAAACAAATGATTTTTGCAAAATTTCATCTTAATTCGATAATAACTGCGACCTGCGACAGGAATGCATGGACAGACGGACGGACGGACAGACGAACTGACATGCATAAATCTATAATACCCTTACCACTATGTGTTGTAGGGTATAAAAAGCGCCTTGATCGAAACCCGCGTCACAGTGGCCGAAAAATGGCTCGTGAGCTGAACATATCGCAATATTCCATTCGGCAAATATTGAAAAATGAGCTCGGGGTAAAACCATTGAAACACCGCAGCAGAAAGAAAATAGACTCAAACGAGCTAAAGAGATGCTTCGCTTGGCCGATAGTTTGTAAACAAACAAAACGATCGTGTTTACTTGCCAAAGAGGTCAGTTGAAAATGTGCACTTTGGGTTGGCTACCAGAACTCAGGCGCCGGCCATCGTGATGGTGTGGGCCGGCATAACAACCGATGCTCACTCTACGCTCGTATTAATCGACCGTGGCATCAGAATAAATGCCGAATATTATCGTGAAAATATTGTGGAGGGTGTATTAAAGCCCTGGGCACGCAAACATTTTGGCCGCAGGCCTTGGACATTCCAAAAGGACTCAGCACCATCGCACTCAGCACCGCCACCCAAGAATGGTTACAAAATGAGGTTCCTCGCTTCATTTCGAGCGCTTAATGGTCACAAAAATCTCTGGATAAAATATCCGTTGACTATTGTGTTTGTAGTATTTTGGAAAGCAAGGTTGGCAAAAAAAAAAAAAAAAAAAAAAAAAAAAAAAATACCAAACTGTCGATCACCTCAAGCAAGCGCTTGACCGGGAATGGGCCAAAATACCGCAGAGCAACATTCGGGCAGCGTGTGACGGTTTCATTGGCCGTTTGAAGGTCCAAATTCTTGCCAAAGGTGACCAATTCGAACAAATCTAAACTTATTCTAAAATTTGATGTTATTAGCCACATTTTTTGGTTTAATTCAATAAAATTTGAAAAAAATGTAAAAATTATGGCGCGTGACTTTCTTGCAGTTTTTTTTTCTATCTCACCCTGTATATATAATAAATTGACTTTTTCAGATTCCATCCTTATCCCCATTATTTATTCTACGTGACTGTTGGGAAAGTAGGGTTAAAAATATATATTTTTTAATTTTATAATTAATTTTATAATTTGCACAATAGCCACATTGTTTAAAATACCACGCATTATTGAATAATAGAATAACATTTCTATCCTCCACTTCTCCAATTTTGTTCCTAAAACAACTTGCTTTCCAAATTATTATAAAATAAAAATTTTTGTTCATTTTTCACAATTAGTTGAAAAAACAATGTTTGTTTGGAAACTTTTGTTTCGGCGTCCGGTCATTGCGAATTTTGCATATCTAACGATTTTTGAAAAATAACAAAAGCTTGCCATTAGAAATAAAAACAAAATTTAAATTTCGCACATAAAACAAACTTTTGTTGTACTCTTTTGTTAGAGAATTGCCATACTAATCAAATATTATGCATAGAATTTGGAATTAGTATTAAAAATATTTTTGTTTTAAGTCCACGAAAAAAAAGAAAATCTGATATATGAAGTTTTTTTTTTGTTAGGGAGATTCATTATCAACGGAAATAGAGAAAAATCATTATCGATGAACTTTCCTACAGGAAAATTCATCGTTTATGACCTTTTCTATAGAAAAAGTCAACGTCGATGACCTTTTCTATAGAAAAAGTCAACGTCGATGGCCTTTTCTATTGGAAAGGTCATCACCGATGACCTTCTCTATAGGAAAAGTCATTGTCGATGACCTTCTCTATACGAAAAGTCATCGCCGATGACCTTCTCTATAGGAAAAGTCATCGTTGATGACCTTCTCTATAGGAAAAGTCATCGTCGATGATCTTCTCTATAGGAAAAATCATCGTCGATGATCTTCTCTATAGGAAAAATCATCGTCGATGACCTTTACTATAGGAAAAATCATTGTCGATGGCCTTATCTCTAAAGTCATGACGCAGAATTTTTTCTAGACGTAAAAGTTCTTCGATGACGATGAATTTTTCTTAGACGGAAAAGTTCATCGATGACGATGAATTTTTTCTAGACGAAAAAGTTCATCGATGACGATGAATTTTTCCTAAGTTCTCGTCGATGAACTTTTCTATGGAGAAAACTTCATCGTCGTCGATGAAGTTTTCTATGGAGAAAACGTCATCGTCGTCGATGAACTTTTCTATGGAGAAGACTTCATCGTCGTCGATGAACTTTTCTATGGAGCAGACTTCATTGTCGTCGATGAACTTTTCTATGGAGCAGACTTCATCGTCGTCGATGAACTTTTCTATGGAGCAGACTTCATCGTCGTCGATGAACTTTTCTATGGAGAAAACTTCATCGTCGTCGATGAACTTTTCTATGGAGCAGACTTTATCGTCGTCGATGAACTTTTCTATGGAGAAAACTTCATCGTCGTCGATGAACTTTTCTATGGAGAAAACTTCATCGTCGTCGATGAACTTTTCTATGGAGAAAACTTCATCGTCGTCGATGAACTTTTCTATGGAGAAAACTTCATCGTCGTCGATGAACTTTTCTATGGAGAAAACTTCATCGTCGTCGATGAACTTTTCTATGGAGAAAACTTCATCGTCGTCGATGAACTTTTCTATGGAGAAAACTTCATCGTCGTCGATGAACTTTTCTATGGAGAAAACTTCATCGTCGTCGATGAACTTCTCTATGGAGAAAACTTCATCGTCGTCGATGAACTTCTCTATGGAGAAAACTTCATCGTCGTCGATGAACTTTTCTATGGAGAAAATTTAAGGTTTTACGGGTGTCCTTCTTTTTCACCTATAGTTTTCTACAAGATGCTCGATTTTCGAGTTTTCAAAAAAATTTAAATTTATTTTCTTATTACTCACCCTTGATCCCTCCGAGGTGGTGACACAAGTGCCACCATTGTAGCATCCCATTTTAATGCAATCCGTATGGGGTTCAATGTCTGTACTGCCACCTGAAGCAGGTACACCCAATCCCGTTCCAACTGTATTGGCACTTTCCTCTTCCTCGCTGCTGGCTTCAGTAACGGGATATTTCGAAGAGACGACTGGAATTTGTGTGCCATATGCTGGTGCTGCTGAAGTTGGCGATGTTTCGCTGGGCCCATGCGATGACGGCGACGTTGTTGGATATGCTGATGGTGGTGGCCCCGTCGTCAATGTTGGTGGCATTGTTGTTGGCGGCGATGTGGGCGGCGCAGATGTGGCTGGCCTATAGGTGGGTACGCTGTACGTTGTTGGTGGCACATATGTTATAATCGGTTTGTACTCTGTGGTGGTTGCCACTCGCGGTCCTTGAGTGGTGGCCACTCCTCCCTGACCCAAGATGTTGGTAGTAGGAGAGGCTTGTGTTGTCATTGGCACATCTGGGACCTGTTGTGATGTGTGGGTGGCAGATGTTGTTCCTGATGACGCGAGCGATGGTGGTGTCATTGTTGTGGTACCATGATAATGATGGTCTTCGGTGTAGAGAGGATGTCCCGTGGTCATGGGTGCATCGGGATGATGAGGCAAGGGATGTGACGTTGGTGGCCCTTGATAGTGGGGCGTTGTCTCATAATCCGATTTGCTAACATAAGTTGTGGCCGGATGGTAAATAGAGGTGCTGGGTGTAGTTGTCAGCGGTGTATACGGATGATATGTGCGATTTTCCGGAAGGTGTACTGTAACTGAAATTCCAGGACTCATGGTGGACACCTCAATTGTTTCATAGTCAAATGAGGAGCTAATAGTTGTCACGGTGTAGGATGGTCCCCGTATGGGTGATTGTGTTGTGGGAGCATGTCCTCCAGAGGGACTAAGATCCATGTACTTGGTGGTCACCACCACCTCCGGATACTCGGTAAAGAATGGTGCCGCTGTGGTGGCAATTTCAGGTCGAATCACAAATCGTGGTGTTGTGGGCAGACGATCGCCACCGCCATCTGATTCATGACCTCCCTCATCTTCTTCGGAGGATTTTGTCTCGGGTCTCTCGCTGTATGGTCGAATATGGCTATCCGATTCTGGTTTCGAGGTGACATGGGGAATTTCCAATGTGGGATAATACGTGGGCATGCCATAGCTGTACTGGGAAGTGGAATACTCAATTCCTATGCTGGTCTCAACAGTGGTGAAGTGATGTTGGGTGTATATGGGCCGAGTGGGATGCACATAGATACCCGTTTGATCTTCATCACTGTCACTGGTGGCTCCTTCACTACCGCCCCCTGATTCTCCAGAGAGGGGTACGGTAGTGTATACATCTGTATCACGGCCGGTTGTTATGGGTTTCGCCGTTGAGGATGCCTCATCACTGCCACCACTTGTCTCATCGTAGCGAGTGGCTGTTGTAGCTGTCACTTCCCCAGAGTGCTCTATGTCTTCTGTTACGCCACCATGTCCAGGCAACTCAGAACTTGACCTGTCTCTGTCATGCGATGTGGGAATATCTGTAGTTCCCACCGAAGATGGATGTCCATCTTCGTCTTCCTCATCTGAGGCGGAGGTGGATCCATGCAGCACATGGGTACCTGCTGTGGTGGGAGTTACATCATCATCAGCACCTGTGCCGAAACCTGACCCTCCAATTGGTCGGGTACTGGGTTTCTCCAGGGAATCTTCATCATCTCCTGCCCCCTTGGTCTTATCATGACCCTCCTCATCTTCGTCCTCCTCTTCCTCCGTTTCTTCTTCGTGGGACTTAGAAATCGATTCCGAAACATCTTCCACACCCCCACCTGCTGCTCCTCCTCCAGCACCGTGGTGACCACTCATCGTGGTATCCTCCAAAGTACTCTTCACTGTTGTCAATTCCGGTGTTGGCCTCGGTTTCATGGTGGGCGGTGCCGTTGTTGAGCGTGCCGTATAATTGCAATCCAGCGAATCTTCTCCAATCATCAGACACTCACACAACATTCCCGTCAACAGCGGTGGACATGAACACGAAAAGGTGTCCACACCATCAATGCACACACCACCGTTCATACAACGTGGACCCAATTGACACTCGTCATATTGATATTCACATTTCTCCCCGTGATAATCGGGCACACAATAACACGTCGGCACCCCCTCTTCCATCAGACATAGGGCATTGTTCTGGCACGGATTATCGGCACAAATTAGGATCTCTTCTTCGCAATTTGTCCCCGTATAGCCCATGGGACAGGCACACACATAACTGGCCAATTTGTCCACACACATGCCACCGTTTTGGCAGGGCGATGAGTCGCATTCGTTGATTTCATCCTGACAAATGCGTCCATGCCAACCGGCCGGACATTCACAGTAGAATTCGAGTCCAGGTCCTTCGAGACATTCACCACCGTTCTGGCAGCGAGCTCCAGTGCCTGGTGTTGTTGTTGGAGGTTGTTGAAGTTATTGTTGTTGTTGTTGTAAGAGCAGCCATCAGCAGGGGAGGTCATAAAGCAAAGAGACATGTGTTGAAAGATAATAAGAAAATATTGTTTTTACTGACCATAAAAGTATGTGTTGTGATTGTGGTGGGCAAATATATGTGTTTGTGGGTGATGGCCATAACGGATGGTCGGACAGTGGTTTGAAAGGATAACAGGGAATTACGAGGGAAATAGAAAAACAAAAACCAAAAAAAGGGTTAGGTTTTGGCTTGACCGAACTTTAACTATGAGGTTATGAAAACCATTACAAATACAAGGATCGGAAGTGAATATTGTAGTCTTCAAAATCTTTTATTTTGAAGTTTTCCTAGGAGGATATTAGCAAAGCCAATCTACATCTCTTCATCCTAGACACCTACATTGATCCAAAAGTAGTGTCGTTTAGTACTTATCGATTATAGTACACTTTTCAAAACCTTACAATATATTATTTAGTACCATTTAGTACTAGTAGTATATATGAGGGACTTCCAAAACCCCGCCAAACTTCAAATACAGATACATCAGTAATTTAAGAATCAAATTTCAGAATTCTATCTCTATCCCTTTACCCAATACCAAATTTGATACCACTTGGTACTTTTCGTACAATTATAGTACACATTTTAAAAACCAACTCCATATCTCAATCCCAGATACCATTAGTGGCCTTTATATCAAATTTCAGGATTTCGGCGCTTAAATTTTCCGCATTACTAAATTTAGTACAATTATAGTACGCATATTCCAAAAAACCATCTCCACCTACAGTGACATCTATACAGGGTGAGATGAAAAAAAAACTGCAACCAACTTCCGACTTCTGTCATCTCTAAGCCACTCGTCCTACAGCTGTTGGTCATGGTGATGGTGTGGGCCGCCATAACAGCCGATGGTCGCTCTCCGCTCGTAAATGCCGAATTTTATCGCGAAAATATTCTGGAGGTTGTATTAAAGCCTTGGGCACGCAAACTCCTTGGCCGCAGACCTTGGACATTCCAACAGGACTCAGCACCATCGCACTCAGCTCGCACCACCTAAGAATGGTTACAAAATGAGGTTCGTGGCTTTATTTCCAGGACACAATAGCCACCAAAATCTCCGGATACCAATCCCTTGGACTATTGTGTCTGGAGTATTTTGGAAAGTAAGGTTGACACTAAAAATACCAAAGTGTCGATCACTTCAAGCTAGCGCTTCGTCGGGAATGGGCCAATATATCGCAGAGCAACATTCGGGCATCGTGTGATGGTTTAATTGGCCGTTTGAAGGCCATAATTCGTGCCAAAGGTAACCAATTCGAACAAATCTAAACTTATTCTAACATTTAATGCTATTTCCGACATTAAAAAAAATAATAAAAAAAAAATAAAAAATTATTGCGTTTGACTATGTGGCAGTTTTTTATCTCACCCTGTATATTACACATATCCAAAACCATATCTCAATCCCAGATATCAACAAAGATCTCAATATCAAATTTGAGTATTCCAGCCATATCTTTCACCCTGCAATTTAATTCACCCAATTATAGCACACATTTGCGGAACCACCCATCATACGTCAAGCAACACATGAATAGTGATCCTAATATCAACTTTCAGATATCAAGCAACCTTCACTCAATATCAAATTTAGTACTTTTCGTACAACTATAGTACGTATTTCCAAACCACCGCTAAATCTCAACTTCAAATACCAACAATGAGCTCAATATCAAATTGTAAGGTTACAGCTCTAGACCCAATAAAGTATATATATTCATAATCAGCATAAAATTCTAAGTCGATTTAACGATGTCCATCTGTCTGTCTGTCTGTCCGTCTGTCTGTCTGTCTGTCTGTCCGTCTGACGTAGAGCGCCAAAATTTAGCAGAGCAATTAGTATTGTGGCTAGGATGGTTGGTATTGAAAATGAGATATATCGGTCCACGTTCTGGTATAGTCCCCATATAACGGTACCTCCCGATATTCGGTATGTTGATGATTTATGTCACAGTTTTTTACGGATTTGTCTGAAAATTGGTATTTGTAGGTCATATCGGGTCCCTGTACGTGTGGCAAAACATTGCATGTATAGGTCCATGATTTGGTATAGCCCCCATATAATGGTACCTCCCGATATTCGATATTTTGATTATTTTTGCCACATTTTTTAACGGATTTGTCTAAAAATTTGTATTTTTTGGTCATAATGGGTTCCAGCTCCTGTGGCGAAACATTGCATGTATGGGTCCATGATTTGGTATAGCCCCCATTTAACGGTACCTCCCGATATTCGGTAATTTGATGAATTTTGCCACATTTTTTTCACGTATTTGTCTGAAAATTGGTATTTGTAGGTCATAATGGGTTCTAGCTCCGTTGGCGAAACCTTGCATATGTAGGTCCACGATTTGCTATAGCCCCCAAATAACGGTACCTCCGATATTCGGCATTTTAATTGTTGTTGCCACATTTCTTCTAATGTTTCCTTTACCCTAAGGTGGAGGGTATTAAAAGTTTGGCCCGGCCGAACTTAATGTTTTTTTACTTGTTTTAGCTCTATCTGTTTTCATAAAACCAAATGGTACAATTTTAGAAGTTTATCACAATTTTAGTACTTATCGTAGTCTTAAAGTTCAAATTTCCCAAAAACCTTTGACGATTTCCTATTCCGCACTCCATAAGTGACTGTAATTCCGAATGTCAGAATTCTAGCTCATTACGTTTGTTCAGTACAAAGTTTAGTACATTTTAGTACTTTTTCAAAAATCCAGCTTTATCACCAAGACTATCCCTCGTACAAAATGTTATAATTTCACCTTCAGCCGTTTCTTCTGCCCCAGCTCTTGAGGTTCACTAAAATACAACTTGTACCAAATTTAGTACACATATGTACGAATTTCCAAAAGTTCCTACCTACCCCAATCACACACTCCAACAGCAGTTTAACAGCAGTTTTAGTACCATTTAGTACATATAAGTACGAATTTCAAAAAGTTCGTACGTGCCCCGATCCTACACTTCAGCAGTAATCCTAATTGCTAATTTTAGTATTCCAGCTCTATTGGTTCACCCAAATCCAAATTGTACCAAAATTTGTACATTTTTGTACGTATAAGTACAAATTTCCAAAACTATCTCCATATATATATACTCCAACAGTAATACTAATTCCAAATGTGCCAGTTCTATTGGTGTACTCGAATACAAATTGTACCAAATTTAGTACCATTTAGTACACATTTCCATAACAAACTGAGTTAAACAATTTACTAGAAATCTTGTTTCCAAATTTCTGAATTACAACCCTGTCAGTTCAACCAAATTTGAATTGGACCAAATTTAGTACCATTTAATACACATAGGTACGAAATTCCAAAACTTCCAATATACCTACAATGTCCTACAATGCAATAGTAATCTTATTTCCAAATTTCAGGATTCCAACTTTATTAGTTCACCGAAATTGTACCAAATATAGTATCATTCAGTATTTTTGTGTACACAAGTAGAAATTTCGAAAACTATGTCCATATCCCAATTCTATACTCTGCCAGTAATGTTAATTTCAAATTTCAAGATTTCACCTTTACGCGTTCCTCCAAAATCGAATTGTTCTAAATTTAGTACCGTTTAGTATTTTTCGTATTCATGAGTAATCACTTCGAAAACCAGCTCCTTATACCGACCATACTCCTCAACCTAGAATTCCATTCCTAAATTCAATTTTTAGCTCTACCGCCCCCTGATTCTCCGGAGAGGGGCACGGTGGTATATACGTCTGTATCACGGCCGGGTGTTATGGGTTTCGCTGTTGAGGATGCCTCATCACTGCCACCACTTGTCTCATCGTAGCGAGTGGCTGTTGTAGCTGTCACTTCCCCAGAGTGGTCTATGTCTTCGGTTTCACCACCATGACCAGGCAACTCAGAACTTGGCCTGTCTCTGTCATGCGATGTGGGAATATCTGTAGTTCCCACCGAAGATGGATGTCCATCTTCGTCTTCCTCATCTGAGGCAGAGGTGGATCCATGCACATGGGTCCCTGCTGTGGTGGGTGTTATATCATCATCAGTTCCTGCACCTGCCCCTCCACCTCCAATGGGTCTGGTACTGGGTTCAAGTTTTAGCCCGTGACACTAAATATTACAACATTTTGTACCGTTTGGCACTTTTCGTACACTAATAGTGCGAATTTCCAAGAACCCTTTGGTGCGTTCATCAAACACTTCATCAGAGTTCTAGCTCTACTGGTTCGTCAAATTCAAAGGGTACCATATTTAATACTTTTCGTACCATTCTAGTACGAATTTCCAAAAAAAAAAAACCAGTAAGGGAAGCTCAAAAGTCGGGCGGGGCCGACTATATGATACCCTACACCACTATGCATATTTAGTAGAACTCTCGTAAAAAGGATTATACATGGCATTTCAGAGCTCTATGAGATATTTGGTACAAAATCAAAATCTGTCTAATTCTATCGTGCATTTTACGAACTATAGCTATCTCTGAACCGGGTTTCTCCAAATTTTACGTATTAGCTTCTAGACTGGTGATTTGGGCTGATATTGACCATTTAGTGCATCCCGAAATCGGATGAAGATATATATGAGAGCTATATCCAAATCTGAACCGATTTCGATAAAATTTAAAACAGCTAATCCTGTTCTCCATCTAATACCTGGTACCAAATATCACGGTTGTGAAGTGAATATTACGAATGTATGGGACTAAAACTCTAAATCGGATGAAACATATATATGGTTGCTATATCTATATCTGAACCGATTTTCACTAAATTTGATATACTTGCTTCTAGGCTGAATTTGGTCTGATGTACTAAAATTCAGTCCATTTGGACTTATATCGGCCATTTGGTGCACAATTATCCCGAAATCGGATGAAGATATATATGGGAGCTATATCCAAATCTGAACCGATTTCGATAAAATTACAAACAGCTATTTCTGGGCTGTATCTTATATCTGGTACCAAATATCATTCTTGTGGAGTGTATATTACGAATGTGAGAGGCTTAAACACCAAATCGGATGAAAGATATATATGGGAGCCATAGCTATATCTGAACCGATTTTCTCCAAATTTTATATACTTGATTCTAAGCCGAACTCGGTTGGGTGTGCCAAAATTCAGGTAATTTGGACTGATAGTGGACATTTGGTGCACATTTAACCCGAAATCGGATGAAGATATTTATGGGAGCTATAGCTGTTTCTAAACCGATTTTCTCCAAATTTGTTGTGTTTGCTTTAAGGCTAATCTCAGCCACATGTGCCAAAATTCGGGCCATTTGGGCTGATATTGGCCATTTGGTGGTCAATTAACCCGAAATCGGATGAAGATATATATGGGAGCTATGTCCAAATCTGAACCGATTTCAATAAAATTTAAAACAGCTATTTCTGTGCTCCATCTAATACCTGGTACCAAATATCACGGTTGTGGAGTGCATAGTAGGAATGTGAGGGACTTAAAGATCAAATCGGATGAAAGATATATATGGGAGCTATAGCTATATCTGAACCGATATTCTCCAAATTTGATATACTTGCTTCTAGGCCGAACTCGGTTGGGTGTGCCAAAATTCAGGTAATTTGGACTGATAGTGGATATTTGGTGCACATTTAACCCGAAATCGGATGAAGATATATATGGGAGCTATATCTAAATTTGATCCGATTCTCACCAATTTCAATAGGGTTCGTCCTTGGGCCAAAAAAATATTGTTTGGAAAATTTCATCTCAATCGGATAATAAATGCGACCTGCATTTTGTTCACAAGAATACATGGACAGACGGACGGACGGACGGACGGACATGCATAAATCGACTCAGAAAGTGATTCTATGAAGGTTCTCAAAAGTAACTATGGGTCTATCTCGTTTCCTTCTCCATGTTACAAACAAATGCACAAAGACATAATACCCTTACCACCATGTGGTGTAGGGTATAAAAAAATAACAGCCTTATCTAACACCTTTGGACCAAGAGTGACCCTCACCCAAATTTTCTGCCGTTTCGTCTGGACGATGATGAATTATTAAGTCAGTCAGTCAGTCCGTTAGAACATTTGGATGTACTGATACATAATTTATCCCTTCGCACCACTGTCTGTTTCCTTTCCAACCACTTGGGTTTCTTTTGTTGTGGCCATACTCAAGAAGGACTCTTTGTCATGTATTTGTGTTACTTTTTTTGTTTTTTTTTTTTGTTTTTGGGTCGCCGTCGTAGTACTTACCCGTTTCACAAACAGCCACATCTACTTCACAATGATCTCCCAAATAGCCGGGTTGACATGTACACGTATAGCCGTTATTACGGTCACGACAATGTCCACCATTCTGACATGGATTTGACATGCACTCGTCGACATTCTCCTCACAGTTGGCACCTGTAAAGGAAACAAGAAGAAGAAGGAGATGATGGAAAAAAGGTTAAGAATACGACGAAGAAGAAAGACACGGTGTTAAAGGAGCAATATTCTCCGTCATTGTGTTGAGTTTTATTTTAATGACAATAATTGTTTTCTCGGAGAGGGTTATGATGTTGACACACACACACGGGGAGCTTAACAGCCAGCCAGCCAGCCATCCAGCCAGACAAAAAGATAATGGTGCCAGAAACAAAAGGAAAGACATTTTCTGGAAAATTGTCTTCATAAAATATTAAAATGCCTGAAATGAGATTTGCTGTACGCTGTTATCCAACGATGCGGATCCATGGCGTGATGTGGGTTTTGTTTCGACACCCCATTTAATCGCACCCCCCCTCAAAAGAAAAAGGTGTGAAGATTTTGTATTGTTTCTTTTTTGGTTGGTTGTTTGTTTTTATTTCGAAAGCAATTGAAACGTGACCTTTTGTAATTAAATTCAATTTAATAATTTACAACAATTGAAGGTATGGCAAATCGTGCTTTTTATTTTTGTCCGGGCAATAAAAAGAGATTGTGTTTTTTCGGAAATTAGATTACGAGTTATTAAAGATAGCTAAGCGGAAGGATTTGTTCTCGATTTTTTTTTTCTGGAAACGTCAAAAAGTGAAAACAAAATAGATTGAAGTGAGTGACATTTTTGCCTACACAAATCAGTATATAATTTTTTGAGATTTGTTCTGGTGGTCATAAATCTCATTGCAGGCGAACCGATATCACAACAACAGAGCAGCAGCAACTCCTCACAATCTTTTCTCTAAGATGAGCACATGAGATGTTTTTGTGATAACAAAATTTGTGGTAGACAAGTTCCCATTACTGAATCTCGTGGTGGAGCTACGTATAAAATGGGCGGACGATCGCAGAGTTGTGACATTCATTAAATCAGTTACTAAAATTAACCTTGGACATCCTTTCTTAAAGTACTTATCCACGTCTCCAAGCCCTGAATCCTTGAATACTCGTAGTATACCTGGAGATCCTGAGTGAGTTCTTATTAAGGTCTCTCTTAGAAGTATACTTGAAAATATTTGTAGATCCTGTTTCAGTACGTATTAAGATCTCTCGCAGACGTAGCGAAGCTTGAGTATGTATTAAGGACTCTTGCTATCCTTGTAGAAATTGCTTGACTACTTAAGGTCTTTCGCAGACTTAGTGTAACATATCCTTGTAGAATTGCCTGACTACTTATCAAGGTCTCTCGCAACCATAGCTTCGCATATTCTCCTAAAATAAGCTTGTGTACTTATTATTGTAGAAATTGATTGAGTACTTATATAGGTTTTTCGCAGACGTAGCTATGCATATCCTTGTAAAATTGGTTGAGTAATTTTTGCAGGAACCCTTGGACCGCGGTGAGCTGCTCTAGCTTGAAGGGAAACCCTGTCGCTACGAGTGGGTCAGTCTTTATATTGATTCTGTTATACGAAGATAATTACTTAGAAGCCATAGAAATCTCTTTAAACAGACTATCATTAAGTTCACAGGTTTTGGCTCATTGTTCCGCAGGAGCTTCAATCGTTATTCCACAGGAGTCTTTGGCTACGTCCCATAGGAGCTGAACGAGTTCCGATCCATCTACGAAGATCTAAACAGAGAGTGCCGAACATACCCATAGTGAGCTACCGAACCCGAATGAGTTCCAATCCATCTTAGAAGGCCTGGACAGCTGCTCCTGAACACACCTACCGTGAGCTGTCGAACCTGAACAACCTAAGATGAACCAGAACAAGCTAAGAATTGCCATCCCCGATAGATTATACCACGAGGTCCCAAGAAGTGTTTTAGAAGGCCTGGATAGCAACATCCCAAACATCTACATCGTAAACCCTGATTATCTTTAAAACTTTGACAAGCGACAACCATAAAAAAGATTTCCCGATTAGCTTCAAATCATCAACCCGAACATATTTATGGTGTGTTACTGAAGCCGAGGGAGTTATGATCCATCTTAGAAGGCCTGAACAAATTCGAACCCGAAAAACTTAAGGCGTCCCGGATATCATCGACCGAGTATCTCTACAGTGTACTGCCGTACCCGAATGATTATACCACAAGTCCCCAGCCCGTTTCGGAAGACCTGAGCAACAACATCCAAAACACCTACATCGTAAATCCTACATCGTAAATCCAGATTATCAACCACTCGTAAATCCTACAACCATTCATTGAAGTTCCCAATTTCCTTCAAATCATCAACAATCCGAACGCCAACGTCACTCCGATCCCAACCGTCACAATTCCTGGTTATGTTCAACTCGTCAACAACCAACGGCCATAAGTTCCCGATTAACTTCAAAATGTTAACATCCTGAACGCCAGCGTAATTCCTAAAAAAACATCGTAATGCCTGATCTCCCGCATCAATCTGTTCGTTTGGATTCTGGCGATCATTCACAAGTTGCCGATTACCTTCAAATCGTTACCACCCCGAATGCCAGCGTCACGCCGAACACAAACACTCCAATTCCTAATTCTCCTCACATGTCAACATCCAAGCACTCCAAGTACCCAATCACCTTCGAATCGTCGGCTAATTACATTTCACATCAATCATTGCAGTACCAATCGTGTACAATCCGACAGCGCTACTATATCATAGTTCCTGATTAACCACGAGTCGTCCACCCTTTTGCCTACGAGACATCGTAAACATCCAATTTCCGATCATTAAGTGAAGAACTGTACATCAAATTCCCGAGCCCCTCCGAAGTCCATTCGCCATCATTTATTCTATATTCTTCTTATCGTATTCGAACACGAGTAGATTTTACTTTTGTACTTAAATCAATCTAATTACACCCCCAGAAACGAACGAAACGAAATTGAAAATGCGTAATGATACAGACTTGTCAATGATTTAATTATGTGGTCTAACAATTTTAAACTTGTTGTGGATTCAAGATTTGAGGAAAATTACATTTCGATTGGAGATATTTTAAAACTTGGTCTTCAAGAGAAGTGGGTCTATATTTCAAATCCCCGCTCTGACCCACTGATATAGTTGGGATTTATTCTACCCTGAACTTGGTGTGGATTCTAGCTTTGTGGAAAATTACATTTCGATGGGATATATTTTGAGACTTGGATCCCAAGACAAGTGTGGCTATATTCCAGATCGATGATCCGTCCCATTCATGTATTTTGACTTTTTTTCTACACTGAACAATATTTTTTTCGTTCATGGCCCTGTGTGAATACAAGGAAATGTTTCCCTGACAATTTATCTAATTATTCTCGAATAGCCTTCATGTTGCGTATGATTAACATTTCCGCTGCGTTGTTATGTATACGCCTTACCTTCAAAACATATTTGTTTGGCTTGTAAGTTCTGGTGCATTGAATGCAATTTTCCAACAATCTAAATATAATCGAAGGACAAGTCTAATCTTATTTGTCATCATCAGAGGGGAGGTATGGTGGTGGTGGTGGTGGTGGGTGGCATTCTATTCAAAGCCATATAACGCCTTTGGTCAACATAATCTGATTAACGCACACACATACACACGCCCACTCAGGTGGGTAGATACTTTTGGCCACTGGTAGTAGGGCAAAGCAAAGCAACATTGAAAAATTAAAAATGCAAAGCCAACAATAGATCGATGACATTTCAAAGAATTGTGTCATAGGTAATTTATTCGAACATAAAACGGGCTTGGTAAAATACATAAGAAATAAATTAGCTAATTAGGGGACATCTTTATGTTGTTCTTAGAAATATCTATATATATAGATTTGAAGTTGGTAATTGGTATGGAGAAATTGATTGACGGGAACAATTTCGATAGGGAGAGGTGGGTCTTCGAAAAACTAGAGTGATACATGGAGAAGAGATAAAATGTATATTAAACACAAAAGACTGCCACGAAGAGTTCTCTTCACTCATGGAATACATCATTTTTAGCATAATTTTTTAAATATGATCAAGACCCTCAAAATTAATGACAGCAGGGGTGTTTCTCCGAAATGTATCGGGAAAAAGTGTTTTAAAGCCAAAGAAACCATGCTAAAGCAAAATCGATTGACACTTGGTACTTGATACTTGAAATTGGAGTTATCCTTACAAGGGGACTATTCCGAAAAGTGGACGAATATGACCATGACCCAATTTTCTGTACCAATGATTCTGGATATAATACAAAGACCTCTATAAAATTTCAATGCTCTGTCCCCAATATTGAGAAATATATCCCAAAGGGACCCCTAACTTTGTAGGTGTTCAAAACTATACAGGGTGAGATAAAAAACTGCAAAAAAGTCAAACGCCATAATTTTTACTTTTTTTTTAATTTTATTGAATGAAAGCAAAAAATGTCGGAAATAGCATCCAATTTTAGAATAAATTTAGATTTGTTCGAATTGGTCACCTTTGGCACGAATTATGGCCTTCAAACGGCCAATGAAAACGTCACACGCTGCCCGAATGTTGCTCTGCGGTATTTTGGCCCATTCCCGGCGAAGCGCTTGCTTGAGGTGATCGACACTTTGGTATTTTTTAATGCCAATCTTGCTTTCCAAAATACTCCAGAAACAATAGTCCAACGGATTCGTATGTGGAGATTTTGGTGGCCATTGTGCGCTGGAAATGATGCGGGGAACATTTTGTAACCATTCTTGGGTGGCGCGTGCTGAGTGCGATGGTGCTGAGTCCTGTTGAAATGTCCAAAGTCTGCGACCAAAATTTTTGAGTGCCCAAGGCTTTAATACACCCTCCAGAATATATTCGCTATAATATTCGGCATTTATTCTGATGCCACGGTCGATTAATACGAGCGCTGAGCGACCATCGGCTGTTATGGCGGCCCACACCATCACTATGGCCGGCGCTTGAGTTCTGGTGGCCAACCGAAGGTGCACATTTGCAGCTGACCTCTATAAGTAAACACTATCATTTTGTTTGTTTACAAACTGCTGGACAACGAATGTTTTCTCATCGGAGAAAACCAAATTCGGCAGTTCAC